TCCCCTGCCTTCGCCCTAAGTCAGCTGGGATAGGCTGCAGCCCCCCTGCGACCCTAGTGAGGACTAAGCGGTGTATAGATAATGGATGTTGTGAAAGTGTAACAAACTGGTAGCCATTTTCCGAACAACTTAACTCTTGACACTGCATTTCCATGTGCCTCCAGCAGTACAACTGCCAAGTTTGAAGGAAATGGAATAAAACGTTTTCAAGAAAATTAAAGTGCAGATACATCAGATTTACTCGTAAGCCCCTTTGAGGCATGCACTTCTTTCCATTAATCTGATGGCGTTTTAATGTGTCAACTTCATGTCTAAATGAGCACCCTCATCACTTTTCCAAAAAAGTTGCAACAGCAATCCTGCCAGGTCAGATCCAGAAACGTTTCCGTATTGCACATGTCATTGCATGAACAGAAAACCATGCAAGTGACATTGAGTTGTGAGAAGTTTTTTTTTTCCCATATTGGTCCTAAAACATCACAGAGAGTTAAAGAGAGTTTGCTGCAAGATTCAAATTACACCATTTGCATTCACTTTGCTCTGCAATGTCACATCTATTAGAAATCAGAACAAGTCAGATTAATGAGACTAACCGATATTGAATGTAGTCTAGGGTTTGACAAAACATTAACAAGAGATTAATTTTAGTTTGTCGCGAGCAGCTGTTTGTAGTCTTTTAGTTTGGAGTCTCCTCTGAAATTATTAAATACCTGCAGTGTCAGACAGAAGACAGGATCTACATGAGTGTCTCCAAATGAGTAAGAGCTGTGTGCATTTACTCACGTGAAACAGTGGTAACTTCATTAAGTAGTTATAATTCTAAATTGTCTCATGTGGCAAGGGTCAATCAGGATCTAACAGCAAGTCTGTTTTTTCATCTCAGACAGGTTAGCTGTCACACACAGGGTCACAGTTTATAGCTGCAGTTAAATAATTTTGTACGTAGCAGCCATTCTCAGGTTGAGTCCTGAACTCCATCACTGGTGGGATGTTTTTATTTTGCTGTTAATAAATTAGTAGTTGGATTATCATCACACATGAACAGTATTTTCAGTGTTTTAGGAAATTGTAAATAAACTAGGCTGTCAGTTATTTGGACAGCTAGATAAGCTGCTATTTGTTCAGATTTATTTTCTTTTTAATTATTATTAATGCATTATAGCATATTATACATCACTTGGTGTACTGTCCAGTCTTGCACTAATGACAACAATTGTGTGTGTACCATGGCACTCTCTGTCACTATGGTGGATGGGCTATGTCTAAATGAAGCTGTTAGGTACATTAGAAATTACCCATATCTGAATGACAGAATGCTGTCACTTTAACAGGCTGATGAATGATATTTGTCCCATGTCTGGAAATGGCTATACTATATGCAAACACACACATGCATGTACATACAGACTCCTGTCTTTAAATTAAAACATTTTCTGTAACATTTAGTTAAAACTCTTGTTGACTTTCAGATTGTGGACCAGATCAACATGAAGCTGCCTGCATCCTTTGTTGAAAAGTTGTTGGCACCAGACTCCCATCTGCTGAAGCTACGCTTCCATCAAGAGAAAGAGGTGTGTGTTCTTAACACTATTTTAGAATACAGCAAAGGTGTCCTACAGGTTAATATGCCAACACATAAGGCTTGGAGCATACCTTCTGTATTTCTGATGCATTATGTGGCCAAACATTTTAGTTGGGTGATAGTTGAAGTTTGTTTTTTTGTTTTTTAAAACCATGAGCATTAATCTGCTACTATAATGACCTTCACTTAGTCTGGAAAGACTGGCCATCAGATTCTGGCACCTGGCTGTTGATTTTCTTTATTCATCCAAAATGTTATTGGTGAGAAGATGATGTGATGTATTTCTTGATCTGTTACTGTATTGTGTGTTTGCGTATGCCTGTATGTGTGTGTGTGTGCACAGGTGATGTCAGCTGTGCATGGTGTGTATCAGGCACTGCTGAGCCTGAAAAACATTCCAACGCTGGAGGCAGCTTATAAATTGGTACTGGGTGAGATGGCATGTTCCCTGTCCAGCCTGATGGAAACCCTTGATGCCACTGAAAAGGCCCCAGTACCCGGAAGCTCCTGCTCCAATATCCAACACCCTGCTTTTGCCTCGATCAGCCAACCGCTGGAAAAGGCCCAATTCATCCTCATCTTTAACCTTAGCACCCTTACAACCATCGGCAACACCAAGAACTCTCTCATTGGGGTGAGCCCTTTGCTTTGCTTTGTACTGCAGAATATTCAATATTATAATCCTTAAGAGCGCTGAAAAAATACTTCAGCATCATCAGTAGTTCGGTTCATCATCTAAGGATAATTCCAGTTTATTTCTTCCAGATGTCATTTCACTTGTTTTGCAGTATTGTGTGCTTGACTGCATGCCTGGGTAGGACCAGCTATTATCCTGTCATTTTTGTAACAATGCATTGGTTGGTTTTAGATAGCTTTGAAAACTCCCCCTCTAACACCTCTCTGATCCTGCCTCAGGGTTGTGTCTCCCTTCTGACATCTAGTAATGCAGCTGACTTCCCCATTAAAGCACTTCTTGGAACATTAGAAAATAAATGTCTTCTACATGTTTTTCCATAGATGCCATTAGAGTGCTCATATACATACAACAATGCAACCATACTCTGACCTGACTAATTTCAGTTTATTGAGGTTAAACAGTTCAGCAAAAATACCAGAGGTATTAGGGTAAATCGTACGTTGTCCATCACAGCCTTAGTGTCTCTGTCCATCCATCTGTAGCATACTGATCTTATGGCATGTCTCAAGGCAAATCTGCCTTCACACCTGCACATTAGACCATCCCTCGTAAGAATGTCACCCAAATACAACAAATGACCACGTGTCAAGGTGACACCTCTCACTCATAAGACATGTCTGTTAAATGTGTGCTACTGTGCTTGTCACTATTAGTGGAGACTGTCGTCTACCGTATAGATTTTACTTCTTTGCGTCATATTTTTCTTTTGAAAGCTTTTTTTCTTTTTTTAAAATTTAGACATGTAAAGAAAAACTGATGTTCATATGGATAAGATTGTTTTAGCCAGCTTTTGTTCAGAAATTGTAATCCAAACAGACCTTATGTACATAAAAAGAGTGCCAAAAGTACACAACATCAGTATATTTTCATTAGTCAAAATACAGGAATCTACCACTGTAACTCACAAGGGCTGGCTGGTTAAGATTGTGAAGCAGCATCAGGATGTGTTAATGTTTGCCCTGACATATTGTGAACTACTGTTTTGTGTTAATGCATGTTTTTTTGCTGTTTTGTTTTGTTTTTTTTTGTCTCTCAAATGTGTCTTATCTAGATGTGGGCGCTATCTCCTACAGTCTTTGCTCTTCTAAGTCACAATCTTATGCTGGTCCACTCTGAGTTAGCCGTCTACTACCCAGCTATCCAGTACGCTGTACTCTACTCCCTGTACTCGCACTGCACCAGGTAAATCGCTGACCTATGCTGTCAGCATTTCTGCATTTTTACACACCTATCAGACAAGGTAGTCTGAGTTAAGTTGGTTTTTGTTCCATTTGCAACTTTTTGCATACGGCATTGAACTTTGTTTATTGTTGTAATTGTGGCTACCATATTTCCTCAAATTAAAGTCATTTAAATGCCAGTGTGTGAAGAGAAGGTTTTGTACTAAAATATGACCTCTGTCACTAACTATGATATGTGAATCTACTAGATATTGCTTTATGGAAAGTCCTGAGATGCTCTCAACTTTTCAACATTTTTGTGCTGTTAAATATTTGTTTACAAACCAGTTTGGTTTTGGGTACTTCCAACACAGACACCTCTTTATTTTGCACAGCACTGAATTGCCCTTCTTATTGTTTTTTTCATATATTTGTTTTTATTTTTGCAGTTTATCAACTGCAGTTAAATATTTTATTACATCACGGCTGTTTTTAGGTTGAGTGCTAGTTTCGTTTCACTATTTTAAGAAATCAGAAATAAAGAGAGCTAATAGTTGGTTGGAGGCTTTGATCAGCTGCTGTTAGTTTAGATTTAGTCTGTTATTGCATTGCTATGCATTGTGGATCACTTGGTGTATTGTCTAGTTTCACTTGAATGACAAATATTGCGTGCATGCCCCGGTACTCTCCAGCACTGTCAAGGGTACCTCATCATGAGCCCCTAAGGACCATCAGTGGAAAAGTGACTTTATGTCTAAATGGCAAGAATGCATTTACTTTAATGGATTAATTGAGCCAGCAATGTTCCATGTTTGTTGTTTGAAAGGGGTTTAATGGTGACACAAGCACTGATGTACTGTGTAACCAAAGTGCTTGCTTAGCAGGGGTGTAACGGTATACAAAAATCTTGGTTCGATACGTACCTCGGTACGGAAGTCATGGTTTGGTTCTCAGTAAAGGGAGAAAAATTAAAAAAGAAAAAAAAAACCCTGCTCATAATAAATCCAAAACATTTGTTTATTGTATTAAACCAAAAAGCTGTTAGCAGCTCAGTAAATCAAATTAAATGCACATTGTATACAAATGTAACAGAAATACTGCTGAATAGTTCTCAATGTCAAATAAACACAATAAAACAAATAAAAGTACAAGTGCAGCTTAAACAATTCCAGCTTATTGGTCTGCTGTAAATATAACTGTATGAAATATTGTCAGTTAGCCTGAGGTTTTAAAGGATGAAAATCCCAAAAATATGCACCTTTCTTTCTGATATAAGGTTAATCTTATTATCTGTACTTCTCTTGTGTTTCTCTGTGCAGACATGATCATTTTATCTCATCCAGCTTGTCATCATCGTCTCCCTCTCTGTTTGATGGTGCTGTCATCAGCACTGTTACCACAGCAACAAAGAAACATTTCAGCACACTGCTAAGCCTCCTGGGAGGTCTGCTGTCGAAGGAGCACCTTTATCCTGAAGCCAGGTTTTTTACCCCCCTCTCCTGTTTTTGACACACATGTACACCCATACACACACACACAGAGTAAAAGTTTGTCTTTGGCCTGTAATTGACAAAATTTTAGAACTTACAAAACACTAGATGGCAATGACAAGCATAAAAGCACACATTTACAGAAGGGTACATAATTTTGCAATGTACAACAAAATGTCTTCAGCACTAACTTTGATTTATTCATATCAGACAGTATGTACCTGTTTAACAATAACCAGACAGAAAACTACATTTCATTCAAACTTAAGGCTTATTGGGTACATTCCTACTGACACTTTTATGTTAATGTGTTAGAAAGCTGCTCCTGACCTGGGCTCATGAAATCTCTTTGCTGATGAAGAAATCAGACACCTATAGTCCCCTCTTCTCCCTGCCTGCCTTCAACAAGTTCTGCAGGGGTCTGCTGGCCAATGGTGAGCCCAGAATGGCTTTTTCAACAAACAGTTGTTCACTTTGTGCTTTCCACAGGCAGACAGGTTATGTGCTTGTCATTTGAAATTCTTTCAGTTACTCATCAGTAATGTTGCTGGATGTTTTTCTTTCATGCTTTCACTGGATAGCTCTGAATGAAGATCAAGGTATTTGCCTACAGACCTGCCATAGCTTACAGGTCCTCTCTTCATCTCTGTCGACTGAACTGCTGCAAAGGTGAACACCATGTTTCCTTTATGTTCTGCACTTTCCTGCAGATATGGGGAAAACAACTATGATGACTAATGCCTGTTTTGTCATGTTAAAGCTCAGGGTACATGCATATGTATGTTTGTGTGTTGGGGGGTTGGTTAGGTGTGTGGATCTGTGCAGAGTCCAATTAGTCCACTCAGCAGTCAGGGTGAGGCAAGCCTACGCCAAACTGCTGAAAACAATCCCCCTTGATGTGGCTTTGAGGTAAGACTTACCAAAACACACAAATTATATTATTCTCATGGTTTGATGTATACCTGTTTAATTGTGTCTGTGTCTGTGTGTGTGTGTCCACAGTAATTACAGCCACCCTGAGATAAGGGAGATTTCTCTGGCCATCCGAAACCACATGAGCCGTGCACCAAGCAGCACTTTTCACCCCCAGGACTTCAGTGACCTCATCAGTTTCATCTTATATGGAGTCCTGCATCGTGGAGGGTAAAGCCACACAGACAGTGTAGTCCTGTATAGTCCTAGGGATGGCGCTAGATGCTGCAAGGGTTACACTGCCTTGCCAGGTGTCAGTGTAATGAGACTTTCTAAGCTTCACATTTCTATATTCACAGCAAGGATCCCTGGCTGGAACGTCTGTACTACAGCTGCCAGCGACTGGAGAAACAGGATGGCCGAGGAAGTGTTGATGGAAGCAAGCCAGATGTAGTGCCACAGGTGCAGCTGAAAACAGAGGTGGTTCTGTGGCAGTGGGCAGTTTGGGAGGCTGCACAGTTTACTGTACTGTCCAAACTCCGAACACCACTGGGTCGAGCTCAGGATACCTTTCAGACCATTGAAAGTAAGGAGATGAGATCCCATTTGTGTTTACAATTCCAGAAACGTCATTTGGTTTTCAAGTATTTTTTCAACTCAAGCTGCCATAGCAAGATTTTTGTAAGGTAAAAAAAATTTACATTTTTGGCATGTGCCTCAGGCTATACGCTGGGGGTTAATGTCCACATTTGCTGGACATTAGCCAAAGTTGTGTTCCTAATACATTTTTCAGTGGTCAGATATGCTACATACATAATGCCTCCTGGGTCTGTTTTTGGCGTAGACTTCCTCAGGCACTAAAGGTACAGTTCAATCTTCAGTGTAAGACATAGAAATGGAATAATAGAATGAGCCATATTTGAGTTTTTGTTCAAAAATTATCTTATGAAGCAGCAGATCAACAGTTCAAATTTGTAAGGTCTTTGCTTAACTATGTTAAGCGCTATGAGATGGCATATGATGCGAATTGTGCTATATAAATTGAATTGAATTGAATAGCCCAAGTATAAATAATTTAAAATTAAACTGTAAGATAATTTCAGTGACAATTAACCTAATTGAAAGGAAAAAAATATTGAATGTTTCAAACCTTTTTTCATCTTGTTTAGTTTGATGGTGTAAATTGCAAAGCATTACATGGACAACCTCGGAGTATATTTGCTGCGGTAAATGCAATGGCCACATCTAAAGAAAAAAAATCTAATCAAGTTTATTGTCATTTTGCTGTACATACACAGTAGTACAGGTAAGATGAGAGAGCGTTTCTTCAGGATCAACCCTCTCAGCTCCTCTAGCTATCCTCTGCAGGGCTTTTCTGTCTGACATACTGCAGCTGGAGTACCATGTTGAGATGCAGCATGTCAGAATGCTCTATAAACATAGATTAAAAATTGTATAATGTATTTATATATATACATTGTGAAGAGTTAATTTCAGCCTTCAAAAAAGGTATTATATAAAACGCCATTGGGATATTTTATGTCTTCATGAGAAAGTATAGAGATGACAGTAAGCAACAGACCTCATGGTGGTTTGTGCCTTCAGCTTTTCGCCACCAGTGGACCTCTACCTTCAATTATGTGTCACTGTATCACTGTGTTCCAGGTATGATTCGGAGCCTGGCTGCACACAGTCTGAACCCAGAGCAGGATGTTGGAGTCTGGGCTGGTGCAGGAAGTGATGGAGATGGTCACCACTCGAATCAGCTCCGCCTCGCTCTGCTGCTTCAGTACCTGGAGAATCTGGAGAAACTCATGTACAATGCTTATGAGGGATGTGCTAATGCTCTCACTGCCCCACCAAAGGTGTGCAAATTAGAGCTCCTGACTCCAGTTCTAGATGAAGATTTAAGATTTTAAAATTGTGTCAACCAAGAAGGCGTGTTGTGACCAGGGCACGCAATTCTATTAACAGTAATTAAAATGAATTCAGGATTGCAACCATCTTTATCATCATAATCATTTACCTTTAGAAATTATATGATATATCCCTTCTTCTACGTGTCTTAGGGCATTAGGACATTCTTCTACACAAACCGTCAGACATGCCAAGACTGGCTGACAAGGATCCGCTTGGCATTGATGAGGGTTGGTCTTCTGTCAGGCCAACCAGCAGTAACTATTCGCCATGGCTTCGACTTGCTTACAGAGATTAAGAACAGCGGCACCCAGGTCAGTATACAAAGCTCCAAGTTGGCACTTTGTGCTCTGTGTTCAAATGTGCACAGATAATTTGGTGAAAGCAACTCTGTTTTTGGGAAGGCAGAGACCTAGCGATATAGTGTATTGTAGTAGCATATTCATAATATGCAGATAAATGATTAATAAATAGTGTAATCTGGTTATATGACTAGCATGTTTTTGGTGTGCTTGCCAAGGGTCCAGAGTTGGAGGTACCTCTGGCATTGTTGGTGGAGGCTCTGTGGGAGATGCGTTGTCCAGAAGCCATCCAGGGCCTGGCAGCCTGGAGCCTCCTCACCTTAGGCAAGAGTCTGGGCTGGTTGTCATCTGTTGCGCTGCAGGCTGAGGGACGGTAAGCAGTGCCACCAGACATCCTTACGCTTTAGTGAAATAAACCAAATCACTACACAGCTCGGTTTATACATTTTGTTGCACTGCTCAATTGTCTGTATGTGTGTCTTGTGTGTCTAGTTTTGAGAAAGCGGCTCTGGAGTATCAAGATCAGCTGTCTGCAGTTACAGGAATGGACTGCAGCATCAAAGGCTCTGAATGTTGTCTGCTCAAACTCTCTGGGAACAACAGCAGCCCCAAACATGCCAGTAACGGTAAACGGCAACTATCCATATTTATTGCCATTCAACTACCATAAAATATATCTGGTCCATCTTGTATTTGCCCATGAGTCATGTGGTCAAATTAGATATTGATAACTTTAGAATCCTGTCTGAAGATTAGGGTTGAGATGGGTTCATAAATGGGAATTGTTAGCTTGAACTGGGCAGCTTCACTTTTGTGGCCTTTGTTTTATCATTGCGTCTTTTCTTGGACATACACTATATTACAAGTTACTTGCAAGACTTGTTGTGAATTTGCCTTTTTAAATATTTGTTCATGTAATTTTTCTAGAATTTGCCTTTGTGTCTTGCTTCTGCTAAAATCTATTTTTGTGATTAAAACACCACAGGAATAATGAATGTGTGGTTGTTTTTTTTCTCTGAATAGGTGATAGCAGGAAGACTGTGTTGCTCAAGTCCAGTGAGTGCTCTCCCGAGGTGGTCAACTTCCTGGCCAACAAAGCCTGTCAGTGCTATGTGGCACTGTGTGATTGGGCGTCTGTTAAGGAGTGGCAGGCCACCATTAATGTCCTCAAACAGAACTCTACCAATCCAGTCAGCATCAACCTCAAAACAGATTTCAACTACATCCAAGCTCTAAGTCGCTTTGAGGAGGGAGATCTTGAAGAGTGTGGGGCTCAGCTGGAGTTGCTGCCTGGAGAGGACTACAGCTCTCTTTCCAGCAGCAAGGACAAGCTGGGCAAGTGTCAACAACAATCAAACATGATAAGCTGCAAAGACTGGGTTATGCATTCATTATTAGATGATAGATATTAAACTGCTGAAAGATTTCTTTTTGTGGGACGTTCCCTGTCCATCTAAAAAATATATTACAATCTGTTTTTTGTTTGCATGTGTTCAGATCTAAAGAGGCTTCTGCCCTCCATGAGTCCAGATCCAACTGAGCTGCAGAGAGCCATTGAGGTGCAGCTCCTTCGTAGTGCTGTTAGTGCCATGACGAAAGCCAACCAACAGCAAGAGCAGAGAACCACATCCAATCCAGAGTGAGTAAAGTTGAGGAATAGTTAGAAAGTCATGTATTAGGACCCCAAGTAACATTTATTTAAACTTCAGTAGTAACTGTTTAATGATGTTATTGTTTTGGTTCATTTCACAGCAAATACCATGCTACGATCCTCTACTGTCTTTAATGTGTCATATATATCTTTTTTGGAAGGGGGGGAGGGGCTTTTTGCCTTTATTGGATGGGACAGTCGAGAGAGAGAGACAGGAAAGTGGGGGAGAAGGATGGGGGAAGAACTTGCAGGAAAGGGCCCATGGCCACTGCGTCAGGGACTTTTACAACCCCTGTACGTGGGTTGCCAGCTCAACCAGTTGAGCTATGGCGGCACCCATGTGTCATGTGTATCTTTGAGAGTAACATTTTGTCTTAGTCATTGTTTCAGATGATGTTAATCTGAAATATGAAAAATAATTACAGTCGAATTCCCCGCTGTTATCTAGGCTGACCACAAGGAGTATGTTGACAAGTTAGCCGAACTTGAGCTGCAGTTTTTCATAGGAGCTAGCTGCAGTTTGGACTGAAGGTTCACCAAGATGATGATGATGATATGCTGGACATTGGCTAGGACATGCAAGGTTTATCAGAAGACAAGCATGAAGGTTTGCTGTCAGGTCAAAATGCCACTGCTACTGTACCTTCATGCTACAATAATATTTTCTTCCCTTCTTCCCTTTGTACTGCAGTACATTGGAGAAACTGGAGATAGAGTGGCACTTTCTTCTGCCAGCTCAGAACCCTTTCACAATGTTTTTTTTTCTTTCCCCCAAGTAAATGACAGTGAGAAACAGCCTTCCCATGTACCCAGACTTTGCTTCAAAGTTAACTTCAGCATTGAACATACCACTGCTTGTTTGCGTTACAGTATTTAGAGCTGGACAGTGCTTGACCTGCTTACTCCAGTGCCTATGCAGCTGTCCCATCCTACCTAATTTTAGCCGAGCACAATCCGTGCGCTGATCTCCATCACCATGCTGCAGATTTAACAGGTGATGTGTTTGGCCGAGCTTGAGTCAGTGATGCCCCCGACAGCAACATAATAAATGTTCACAATGTTTGTCACTCTTTCAGTAACATGGGTTGTGACTGTTGACGTGTTGGGTACTCCAAAGGGCGTAAGCGCTTAAAATAATACAATGACTTTGTTGTATCCCCGCTAGAGATATGCAACGTTAAGATTTTAGTGGTACTACTGCTCTTACCATTGCTGCTTATCCTTTTGCAAATGCATTTCTTAAAGCGGGTCCCCCAGCTGAAGCTTGTGGTCAAATTTGGCGTTCCCCCATGAAATTTGTCGTTGGTGCTTAAGGCTCTTTATGGTCCTCCATTTGAACCTATTGAGTCTGTAGATAAGAGTCTGTTCTTCTTCTTGCTTTATGCTCTGCAAAGCAGGTAGGCAAGCTTCATCCTTTGTCTGTGCATCCTCCCTGTTCTCTGTAGAGAGAAATGTAGCATCCCTGCTGCCTATAGCTCTATGCCATTTGAGCTCTTGAGCTATTACCCCCTTCCTTTTGCATCCAAAGACCGGAGGATGTTGTGTTGCTTGTCCCCTGCGACCAGTTGTTTGTCTTTCTTGCTAATCCGGGCAGAGGTAAAGCTCTGTCTAAACAGTGGCACTGGATTATGGAGGCTATCGCCCTGGTTTGTGGCAGCAGAGGTCTCCCTTGGCTTTACGATGTGAGGACACATTCTACCAGGAGCATGGCAACATCATGGGCTCTTTTTAAAGGGACATCTATGAGTCATGCCTGTGATGCAGCGAGCTGGTCATCTCTGCACGCTTTTTTTAAGTTTTATCGTTTGAATGTGACAGTCCCTTGGTGACTCACTCTGTTTTTGCTGCTGGATCTGCAATACAATAGAATTCTTTGGTTAGATTTGGTGGCTGCTCCACGGGGCATGAATACATGTCCCATACAGTTTATGTGTTGTACCGAGTGATTTGAATAAAGGCAACAAACTGTCATGCCTTTAACTTCTGTTCCCTGAAGGAGAGGAATGAGATACAACACCTGATTGCTCCACTGCTCAGCAGGGCTCAATAAAGCGCGGCTATCAAACTGAGGCATGACTGTAATGATAGGTGCTTATGTGCAGACGGAGCCTCGTATGTCATCACAGTTCATCTGCCTTAAAGGTGTGAATAAAGACGTGTCTTCAGTCAGGCCACACAAAGTCATGATTAGTTCAGAGTATACTGGCAGCCAATGTATTCTAGAAACACTTTCACTGTTTTAGCGAACTGGTTTCTCTAGTTCAAGATGTTTTTTCTTTTGTCAAGGTACAGAAGCTTTGCTTTGTAAAGACTGATGTGAGCTTACCTTTTTTTACTTTTAGTATACTACCATTTACATGTCAAAAGCAGTCTTTTAATAAGCATGTGATATGATGTTGCAGTACATTGGTGCGATGCTTAAAACCTACTGGACGAATCTGCTTGGGTCCTCTTCGCCTGTCAACCCTCACTCTTTCTGATGCCCTGCCCACTCTACCAACCCTACAGCTCCACTGCACTGCCATCCTGGAAAACACTATCACTGGCCAAGAAGTATATACACACATACTTTTCATTTAACTGTATATAATATAAATGAAATTCATTTACACTAAGAATGATTGTACAGCTACGTGATTGTGTCTGTTCAGTTTGGGTTGGGTACCAGAGAAAATAAATGTCAATTATCATGGGGAGCTCACCAAATATTTTTTACTCTTTAGTAAGCACTCTAATACTAAATTACAAATTAATATACTGTGCTGCTTCCAAACCCGTGGTTGTTTTTTTTACAAAGACAGTGTTAACATGAAGTAAGTGAATGCAAAAAGAGCAGCAAAAGAACCTTGTGTTTTTTTAAATCAACTTCAACAAACTTTTGTTTGGATTTTTTGCAGGACTGTGTGATTCCTCTGTACAGTGAGGCTCTGAGCTCTTGTAAGCAACAGGACGTCCAGCTTTTCCTTCAAGCCCTGAGATACACCATGTTCCAGAGACAACTCCTCCACAAACTAAAAGGTAAATACAGCTGAAAGCATCTATTTGCAGGTGCAGACCTTAATACCCTCAACATAAGGAATGGGTTCTGTCAGCCAAAACAAAGCTGTAGGCAGCAGTAAACAGGTTTCAAGCTGGACAAAGCTGAGAAAGATTCAGAAGATAGCACAGGATGTCTCAAATATTTAATTTTTCTACTAATCCCTGCCCTTTGCAAATATTGGCAGCAATGTTTTTAGACTGATATGGCCTGTTTCTAGTAGAACTGTGTAGCTCATTGCTGCAATGCTGTATGCTAAATTTGGTAATATAGTTACATTCAAAAGGTGAAAGTCAGAGGGAAGGTGTTTCATCTGTGCATAGAACTGTGATGGCTGCTTGCCTAGCTGTTAAAAGGTCCAACATAATAGCTAAAGGGCTGCCCCCAGGTGTAAGGGTAACAACTCACAGCATATGGGCATCATGCACTCATGGAAGCTTCAGTGTGTTAACACGTTCAAGTGTTGGGTTGGCTACAGGAGTAACTTAACACAGCTCTCATAGCCGAAAGCAAACAGTGAACGATAAAATAAGGCTGATGTCTATTGACTGACTTAGGCCCATATAGAAAAAGAACAACATAAAAAGAACCCTGCATTTTTGTCCATGTGAGGGTCTGAGATTTCATCATCATCTTTCTTGCCTAGGTTACTCTTCCCCCATAGATGGCCATTTAATGGAGCTTTGTCTGACTGCTGTCAAATTTGCCCGGAAAAAAGGCAATATTGCCCTGGCATCCCGCTTGCTTAGCCATTGTAGTGATGGGACACAAGAAGAGAAACCACAAGATGGGCTGAGCCAGGCCTTTAGGCGTCTTACTCTGGAGGGAACTCTGGGGGAGAAATGGGGACCAGAAGTCCAAATAGAGAAAGCCAAAGTCCTGAGAACTGCAGGTAAGGAACGGGACACATTGAAAAAGCTGTACTCTGTTATTCTCTGCCTTTGTTTCTCTCTGTCTCTGTCTGAGCTGTAGTAGAAGAACTGTGTTTGTTATTTGTTGTTTGTTTTGTTTATGTCTGTTTGTATGTATGCAAGTAATTATTTAGCCTTTTCCACGTCTGCCGACTACAGCTTTAAAGAGTTTCCAAAGTCAAAAGTCTAAAGACAGATAGATATGACAGGTGTCATATGTACTCTGTGCTTTATTATAATTCCACTTAAGGCAACTTGTGATATTGGGCTGTATAAATGAAACTGACTAGACAAAATGTGATGGTACATAACAGTGATAAAAACACATTTTTGAGCCTTTAAAGAGGCACATGGGTCAGAAAACACCACCTGCCACGGGCCTGATCCCAGTTATCAGGTATCAGAAACTACTGCATTTCTGCAGTGGTCCTGCAAGATCCTACATAGGATAATGTCTTCAGTTCCCTGTAAGCAGTGTTCTTTATCCGTAGGCCAGTCCTTGTCAGCCATGGAGATGCTGAGCAGCGCTGCTCTGTCCTATTGCCATGTGGGGAAGAATGAAAGTGCTGCCTGCCGCTCACTGCTCACTCTCTGCAAATGGCTGTTGGCTGACTGGAAGGACATGACACCTCAGCTTAAACAGGTACATAATTTTTTTAAAAACATAAACCAGACATCAAGTATTTGTTAGTGCAAAAGGCCTTTTGTGCTTGGAAGCATTTTAAACTGTTTTGTAAAAATTTAGAAATTCTCTGTGGCTGAGATGATTGAGTTATTGGTTGTTTCCTTTTCATTGTACTATTTTAGATGTTAAACATTAAAATAAGTTAGTCATTGTAATCCCCCTTTACACCAACTATACTCTGGGCGGTGGTATTATGAAGGAAAAATGAACAAAATTATGGTAATGGTTTGTTCTAGATGGTAAAGAAGTCGGGCACAGTAAACTCATCCAGTACTTTGGGTAGTATGTCACCTTTAAGCCGGAATATCGCTGCTCTGCTGGACCTTCCTCTTGAGGATCAGGGTATTCCCCACATCACTGCTGAGACTTCAGGTAACATCAGTGCTGTAGTGGTAATCTACATTAATAGATTAACAAAACATATTTATGGAAAAGTGTCGACATCTAAACACACATCAAAGCCTTGATACTTGCAGACATATGTAAGTTCATTCATATGCATACATGTGCTTAAACTTGCAGTGTCATATTTAGGGATTTCTTTTTTTCTTCATAAAGGTAAATTACAGTAGTAACCTTTATTCTAGCAACATTTGAATCATAATGTTCTTGTCTGTGCAGTAAATGTGGGTGTTGGGGAGCCAGACTTTGTGCTGGGCCAACTCTATCAGCTCTCCACCAGCCTGGCTCCAGAAGTAGCCAAGTCCTGGGCAGCTTTGGCCAGCTGGGCTTACCGCTGGGGCAGGAAGGTGGTGGATAATGCAAGGTTAGTGGACCCAGTGGAATACATGTATAGTTACTACTTTGGCACCTAACCTGTATATTCTAATACAACTTATAAATGGTATGCTGTAGGAATATTACATACGATTGTTTTTTCTTCTCTCCAGTCAAGGGGAAGGTTTGCCTCTTCTACCTGGGGAAAAGAGGGAGGTGGAGGAATTGCTTCCAACAACCACCAGTGAAGGAGACAAGGACACCATCTTCAGCATTCTAGGACAGGC